GGAGGCAGCAGCTACACTTTAGTGTACACCTTTGTGCTTCAATGTTACCCAGACGCAAGCATTTCGGTACTGTTACGCAGCATCAGTTTGACAGGTCACTGCTGTTATGTGGTGAACCCGGCAATGGACTCGGACCTCTCTGAGCCACAGGAGGCTGGAGTGGTTGCTGAAATAAAAAAGTCTCAACTTACGTTTTTCCCTCAAAATTTCCCTCTCCTACGAGTAGGTCCTTGTACTGTCCTAAGAGAATTTTGTTGTCTGGAAGAACTTGAGAATTCTAAATAAAATTCTTTCTAAGCAACCTTCCAAGCTCTTCCTTTCATGACATGTTGAAATGTCCATTTGCCAAAAGCAAAGCTGAACATCAAGCCTGTTTGTTCTTCATAGTTTGTCCATATTTTTGTTTCACTGGAAAAAATAGTAATAATTGATAACATCAAACCTTATTGTATGTGCTGCTGAGGTGAGCACATTAAGCCTTAGTCATTCAGCATATTAATATTACTGGGGCTCTTGGCCAGACACATGTTTTGTTGATTTTTATGGCTACTTTCCCAACTTGTCTCAGCTTCAGCCTCCAGAATGCTAGAATTAAAGGCGTGTGTACCACACATAGCTTGAACAGAAATTTCTAGTAGCAAACATTTCACTCCTACCTCAGCCTCCAGAGTGCTAGAATTTTAGGCCTGTGCACCACACCAAGCTTGAAGAGGAATTTGTAGAGGCAAACATTTCCATTCTTCATACCAACAGCTAATCTCAGTTGTCACTTAAGAAGAATAAAGTGAAATGTAATGATGCATACCTGTAAGCTCAACACTTGGGAGGCTGAGGCAAAAGGATTGTCTTGAGCTTGAGGTAGTGAGTTCAAGGCCAGCCAAACAACTTAATGAGACCCTGTCTCGAACAAAACCAAACCAATCAAAAGATCAACCAAAACAACAAAAAAGATCAAACAGTCCTTACAGAGAGATCAAGGTGCTCAGTTTTCCCTGTTTCTTAGTTTAGATCAGTGGTTGGGAAACCACGGGATATGAACTAAATCTGGCCTGCTGCTTTTTTTTTTTTTTTTTTTTTAAACAACCCACATTCTAATAATGGTTTTTACATTTTTAAATACTTGGGGTGGAAGAGAATAGTATTTTGTGACACGTGGAAATTATAAGGAAATCAAATTGCAATGCCCACGGAGTTTTGTTGGCACTGTGCAGCACTCGCTATTTGTGCATTTGTTGTGGCTGCTGCTGTGCCCAGGGCAGTGCTGAGTAGCTGTGACAGGGACTGTATTGCCCATCACACATAAAGCAGGCGCTGTCTCTTCCTCTATAGAAAAGTGTGCAGACACCTTCTCTGGCCAGGAAAACAGGAAGCACACTGTCAGAAGGAGACCATGATGAGTAAATTAAAAGGAATAAGGAAATGTTTGGGTAAGGAAATAGGATGAAAAATAATGAAACCATTTCTGTATCTGAGTCGCTATAAGTCGAAGGCAACTGCACCAGATATCTGTAAATCCACTAGCAGAAAGCAAACAGCAAGTACCTCATAGGAAGATGTATTTTCAAATATAAAAGGTAATATAGAGCCGGGCATGGTGGCTCACACCTGTAATCCCAGTACTCGGGAGGCTGAAGCAGGAGGATCTTGAGTTCGAGGCCAGCCTAAGCTACAAAGTGAGCTCAAGGCCAGCCTGAACTGCATAGTGAGACCCTGTCTCAAAAAGACCAAAAAAAAAAAAAAAAAAAAGAAATAATAATCAAGTCTTGACTGTCTTCATATTTGAAGACAAGACATTCACTTTTAGGAGGGCCAAGGAACATATATCCCTTAGCTATTGCAGACTGATCAGGTCCACAATGTCCTGAACAAGTATATGGCAAAGGTTAAATAAAAAGAGGTGAATGAATGATTTCAGGGCTCCAGGAGGATCAGAGCCCCCTCACAGAATTCAGGATTCTCTCAGGGCTAAGACCTAGACCTTCTTTGGGTGGCCCGTATTTATTTGGTTATCAGAAGAAGGGAGGAGCTTTCTCAAGAAGGGCAGAATCACTGAAGTACTTCTCCAAGTAAAGTATTAATTTAATCCTTAATAAAGATTAAATTAATCCACCCAACTGGATAAAGATAATAGTCTTTATCCAGTTGAGATCGGATCCAGGTGTCCTTGGCTGTGATCTTGTCTTATCCTTTGAGGCAGTCCGGCTTTATTCACCATTACAGGCTTTAGTAGGGATTAGTGACTCACAGAGGTTCACTTACTATGAGTCCACTGCACATATCCAGACAAGGAGCCTAGGCCTTGGACAGATTCACAAGTGAACATGAAAAGCCAATTGATTAATTTAAGTCCTTCTCAGGGCTGCTTCATAGAGGTCTCCATCACCTACCCCCAGCCAACATGGCTACCTGCCTGGGACCCATGCATAGGCAGAAGAACTGTGGAATCAGGCATCCCCTGCTCTAGCCAATGCCACACCCACCCTGGGCCCCATGCAACCTGAGTGGGAGAGGAGAGTGGACAAACTACCAAATCTTAACCGTCTGTGCAACTGGGGTCTCCAAGCACAGGGCAGTGGATGTGGTAGCCAAAAGACAAACCTGATCAAAAAAGAGTCCAACACCCAGGAGATTTCTGCCTCAGGACTGTAGTATTGCCTCACCATAGAGTCCACAGAAGAGACATCCTTGGGAGACAAACTTGAGGGGTAGGGCAGCTAAACAGGGATCTCCTGGGAAATAGGAGGCCCAGCTAGGACCAGGAAGACCATGGAACCTGTATTCTGTGGTGGAACAGACCTGAAGGGGAAGACATTTAGCCTCGTGGTGTGTTTGAGCTTTTGTACTGCTGCCTACATCCAGCAGAAATTATCAATCTAAATTACTATAGGTGAATATATGGGTGGCCTAATTGTCTTCACTATAATCATAGACCCCTTTGTTCTGGTTAAGGGCTGCTCATGAAAGGTTCTTAAGGTTTGTCAATATCCAGTTGGTACTTGATGCTATTGTTGTTTATTGCTATAGCTAAGATGACACAGCTGACAATTGGTTTTCACTTTATGTCAGTATCTGGATTGCCATCCTGGGGCTTAGTCTCAGAGAACTGGGCACTGGACCAAAGAATCTGAAAACCCTAATCCAAAAGTCAAACTAACAATGATGACAAAGACAACAAGGGGGGGCTGGGGATTTAGCTCAGTGGCACAGTGCCTGCCTGGCAAGTACAAGGTCATGAGTTTGATTCCTGGTACTGGAAAAAAGCCAAAAATAACAATAAAAAAAAAAAAACCAGACAACAACAAAAATAAAATCATCAAAAGACAAGGCAAAAAAATGCCTCCAAAAATTCTCAATGCCCCCAAACCTCATTCAGGGGGGACTGAAGGGGAGAAAATCATAAGCCACACAGCAAAAAGGTCTGAATGGATATTAGTAGAGGTACAACAGTTCAATAAGGTGCTTGGTGAATGTAAAGAAGATATAACTAATCAGATAATGACCCTAATGAAACAAATGACTATCGAGTCTACAGATGACACAAGGAAAAATCTAGAGGAGCTAAAGAAAGAGATGCAAAACATGAGTGCCCGGCATAGAAAAGAATAGGCATCTATTAAAAAGGTACGGACAAAAATCCAGAAGATTAAAAGCACAGTTGAAAGTACGGGTAGTAGAAGCAACCAATGTAGGAAAGACAGTATCAGATCTAGATGACAGGCCTGTGGTCAAGGATCAATTAATGAGAGATACCTTGAAAAAACACAAGAGAACATGAAAAATGGATTTAACAGGTCCTAGATGACTCAAAGAAGACTAATATGAGTAATTGGAATTAGTGAAAAATCAGGCAATAACACAAAAAAACCTGTTTATACAAGTAATAGAAAAATTTCCAAATATGGAAAAACAACAACATACAGTAAGTGAGGCATATAGAACTCCAAATAGACATGAACAGAATATAAAACTGCTCCATGTAAGATAATAATTAAAATACCAGAAATACAATACGAAAACAGAATCTTAAAAGGCTGCTAGAGAAGAGCAAAGAATCACCTATAAGGAAAAAACCGTCATATTTATAATTTCTCAAAACAAATTTTAAAGGCAGAGTATGGAATGAAATGGTTCAAGCTCTAAAAGAAAACAACTTTGAACCCAGACTGTTGTATCCTGCAAAATTGTCCTTTTTTTCTAGTACTGGGATTTGAACTCAGGACCTCATGCTTGCTAGGCAGGTGCCATGCTGCTGAGCTATATACCTGGCCTGAAAATTATCTTTTTTTTTTTTTTTTTTCTTTTTGAGACAGAGTCTTGCTATGCAGTTCAGGCTGGCCTTGAGTTCACTTTGTAGCCCAGGCTGGTCTTGAACTCACAATGATCCTCCTGCCTCAGCCTCTCAAATGCTGGGATTACAGGCATGTGCCACCATGCTCAGCCCCCAAAATTCTCTTTTAAAATTCATGAAGAAATAAGATACTTCCATGATAAAAAAAAAAAGTAAAGATGTTCATGCCCACCGAACACTCCAAAAATTCTCAAAGATATTGTAGGAGGAAACGATGCTAACAATTACAAAAGGTTCAATAAGATGAATACGTCCTATAGGGAAAACAATTAAGTACATGGGAAAGAAAGCAAAACAGCAACAGGAAGATAATACAATGACATGAATAAGTCAATACCTATCATTTATGACTATTAATGTAAATGAACTGAACTTGCTGATCAAAAAACACAGGTTAGCAGAATGAATCGAGAAAGAAAATCCAATGGTATGCTATCTACAAGAAATGTATTTAATATGTAAAAATTCATAGGATAAAAGAATGTAATGTATTTAATATGTAAATAAAATGTATTTAACATGTAAAAATTCAAAGGATGAAAAATAATATTTCATGCAACCTAGAAATTAGCAGGAATAGCTATTCTATTTTCAGACAAAGTGGACTTCAAGCCAAAGTTGATCAAAAGAGGCAAAGAAGAATTTTACATATTGGTTAATGGAACTAGTCAATAGGAAGAGATAATAAACATATATACACCAAACCATATCACACCCAACTTTGTAAAATGGACAGTAATGGATATAAAAGATCAGATCAACATAAATACATATGTGGTATGGGACTTCAATAACACACTATCATAAATAGATTAAACAAAAATCAACAAAGAAATATCATAGTTCAAAAAAACTTTTTTTTCTTTTCTTTTCTTTTTTTTTTTGGTACCAGGAATTCAAACTCATGACCTCATGCTTGCCAGGCTGGCGCTTGCACCACTGAGCTATATCCCT